GTTATTCACGATCTGGTTTGATTTTTTGATATGTTTTATTCGGCAAGAAGGGTAGGTGCAGTGATAGGGACCGGTTATGAGGAGAAGAAATTTGGTTCACTTTGATCACGACCACTAACTAGCAAAGTTTGCGATTCAATGGAGGATCACGGTTCTCTCTGCTTTGCCATTCTTGGCGAAACCTATCCAACCGCTAATAATCTTGAATGATGCAACCGTAGAGAAAAGGAGCTACATTTATGAAGACATTTGATAGTGGTATGGCTCAACAATATTTGTAAGTACCATTCAAGGCTTTGGATGCCTTCTAGTTAAACCTTCAATGGGCCATTATTTTTGAGATGAACAGCGACAGATCGAGACTTCAAATCGAAGGCATAGGCATCGGTGCATTTTGAATATCGTTTGCATGCCCTATTGCTCGTCTATCGAATTTCGTGTTCCGAAAAGTATCATTTGTTCCAAAGAAGGAGCGTGAAGTTTGCTGATTATTACAGCTCTATCATAAGAAGGGGGGAAGTCCGGCGTTAGACAGGCGACCCTACTGGTGAGGTGATATGCTTCTCTCATGCATGGTCTACGCTGTGAAGGAAAAACACGTTTGTGTCAAACGTTTTAAGTTTTGATGTCATGTCTGGTCATAAAGTGCCCATCAACTAAATATTAAATCTTATTGTTCCACCGAGCAGCATATTAATATGATGAGTATTTTCCCTTGTTCTCTTAGCGCAGGAAGCAGTCCAAAGCTCCGTAATCTTGTCTTTGATGTCTACATTAGAGAGCATCCCTCTTTGGGTCAGGAAAGGTCAGGACAGGTCTTTACTCCTTGCACTTCTTTCCTTTGTTGTTTGTGACTGGGGAGAGCCACATTTGGTCGATAAGAGGTAAAAAAAAATATGTGCAAGCCTTCAGCACACATTTTATAAAGATGCAAAACAGGTTCGCACCCACGGCATGCATACCCTCAGCTCCACATCTACCCACGATACATGCTCGACAGAACCCATACCACATAAAAGAAATGTTCCCGTAACTTTGCACCCAAAATCATTACGCAGATTTAGAATGTTGGTACGACATCAGCGTCCAAAAACACCTATATTGGTGTGCATGCCATCTTGAATGGCCGCTGCACTCAGTACCTTCCCCTTATAAGTGAATGGAGCGCTGAAGAAGAGGAAATAACTTACATGACCTAGGCAATGGCAACAAGATCTACAAATTATTGTTAAGTCTAGGTTTCTTGGGTGGCGTTTTTCCCCCCGTACAACAAACTTTTTTTTCCATGAGTTGGATGGTCCATCTGATGAAAACCCCTAAAATAAATTACCCTGCTGAGGAGGTCTAAGGTGTTTTGGAAGCCTGTGATTTCGGCATAAAGTTGGACAGTAGGCTTGAATTTGATAAGTGCTATAGAGGCGAAGTATCGAGAGCCACGCTCAGAACTCATAACGTTTTCAGAGCACGATTTCCTACGGATTCGCCAACTATCATCGGAGTATCAGAAGTTCATCTTAAATCGAAGTTTTGAGTCCATTCAAAAACTAAATTAATTGAGCACTCCGTTGAGTAATCGTTGGTTGGGAAATGTCCGTAATAGATAATGCGGAGATTTGCGGTGTTGCTTTGAGTCAACTGAGCATTCATCCTTTATGATTTAGAACGTCGCCGCATATTGTCATCATCGTAGTGTCCTAGTCGGAAGAGAAAGCTCAGACAGCTTCTCACTGCATTCGAAATGCTATCAGTCATGGCAGCAGTAGCACATGTTAAATTTTTGCTCGCCTTTCACCCAGAATTGAAGGCACCGGTCTAAATCAAGGGGTCCACTAACGCGAACTCATGTGCGCTGAGGTTTCTTCTTTGCTGTGAGTTTCCTTCTGGATGTGCTGAAATGTGACTTCATCACAAGCCTTTCTGTTAACTCCTTCAAAGATTGTTCAGTAAAATCTCACTCACAAAGGAATCGCGCGCTCTCTTTACTTGGGTGTTTTGTTGTTATTTTCTCATTGCACGCCCTTGATTTCTCAGTTCTCGTCTCAAATCCTTCTGCTTGCTAATTAGTTTATTGTAATGACGAACCGAGATTGTTGGCAATTACCATTTCGTTTAATTTAGGCTAATGCGCACATAGATATTCACCTACGTACCATAAATAATAATAATGCATATTACAGCACTACAGTGCTCGCGAAAATTTTGCTTGGGAGACTCGTCAAGAAATCACCGAGTTCGGCTGGTTTCAGATTCCTCATTTACCATACTCTCAGATGGTGCATATTTGGTTGCAGATTGCTCCGTCTTTTTGAATATATAACAAGAGTGAAGTTACAATGGAGAAAACGGCGGTGATGAACCTTCCGAGTCCTAACCTACCGAAATCTGCACAAAATGAATGTATCAGTGATTGGCTTAAAAAAAAANAAAAAAAAAGAAATGCTCTTAGCGTTCCATTATAATATATATTTAATTTGACTTATTTGGAAAAGACAGAAAATAGGTTTCAAAAGCATTGTCGAAAACTTTTCCTTGCTAACGTAAGATTTTTTACTGAGGCAATGACGGAACGGCTGGTCACAGATGAACAAAGAGTGGCAACTTGTTCTACCCGGACGAGCAATAGTCCTTTTGATACTTATCCGTTGACCATTAATACTAAACCACACTCTTCGTCACTAACAAGGATATGGTAAACCCAGCCTTCAAACTCCCATTTTGGTGAAAGTATGTGAGGAACTATGGTTGCCACACTATCCGCTAAAGCAATCTATGAACACTGCAACGAAAAACTCTCCATATAGGTCGCTAAGTGATTGACTGTTATTACGGTACTTATTGGTGAATGATGATGAATGCAAAGCACCCATTAGAGCCCAAATTCGATGAATAGCTCTTACCGTATTTGCTGTACAGATCTCCAGCGCCTGACCCTTCCAGTTCCACAATATCCGGAAACAAAAGCTTGCCAATGCGCTGATGATGTTCGTCTTCGTAAACCTTTAATCTTCCAAAATAGATAATTTCTATGATTCCTCTGATCGATAACTCACATCTGGATAAACAAGGTCGTAGCCATCGCCGGATGCCTCATAGTGAGGTGTCTGATATGGGGCGAACGGTCCAGTCATAGACGAGGCTTTGTGTCTAAACAAAGTATGTTTGTATTCTTGGGCTCTCGATTTGATTTAGCAAATGTTACTAAGTGAACTTCTGTATGGAAGACTAAAGCAGCTGGAAAATTTTGAGAAGAGAATAAATGGTGATAACAGATCAAAGGATTCCTGCTGGAGGGAACGTATGTCAGAACTATCTCAAGACTTCTCAAAGATCAAAGCTCAAAGCATATTTAGTTGGTGCGAGGAGTTCACCCTGCTGTCGATACGATCTTTGACCTTATTATACTGAATTTATGCATTTGTTCATTGAGCTGAATACCCATAGTTATACACTCGTCCATCGACTTCAACTAATACAGCATTGGACAGTAAGGAGGATTAAAGGCACAGTTCACGATAATTTTTAGGTACCTTTTTTAAGCTGAAAAGTGGAAGTGTTGATGTAGAGCAGTACATCAAGCAAACGGGAGAATCCACCTATTTCGCGAAAGATAACGTTTTCCAAATGTAGTGAAAGTAGAGGTTGTACGAGATCACCATGGCAGGAATGGCATTTAAGGAGTGTTTGGAGGAGATTTCACTTGCTGCAACTGCGTAAAGAGCCAAGCCGAAATTGTCCGAAACGGCTTTCAGGGTCGCCATGGATCATGAAAAGCTGTTGGAATTTTCTAAACGGGAGTCCCTTGAGATGGTGCAGCCTCTACAACACCGTTGATACTCTTCCACTGTGGGTGTGGCATTCTTATGATACAATCTGTGGCGACCTTATAATGGTATAAAGCGGGGCTCGTATTCATACTATGGAGAAATCTCAGAAACTATGTCTATCGTGAACTGTGTCTTTGATAAGCAGGATGCTCTCTGTGACAAACGAAGGTATTCTTTCTTTACAGAAACCGAGATTTAATTAACGATAGGAGTATTCAAAATATTGAACTCGTTCTCTGATTAAGCCACTAACTGTCGATGACGATGCTTCTGCTGCGAGAATGGATTCACTGTCGGCAAATGGCTGAGACCGTCGTCCAAAGTCTATAATAGAGTATATTTGTTGAGGCGGCTTAACCTTCTCCGGATTGCAACTTGATCTGGGCATTTTGAACAATGACTCTTGACCTCTTATTGCCTTGATGTTTATTCTTATTTGGAACAATCGGGAAACGACTCCGAATAATAGTGAACTGGACTTGTCAAAGAGGGATGTGATTTTGCATTTGCCAGAGATCCTGGAAATTGAATCAGGGAGCATCTACCCGCTCATCTGGTTTTAGAGAATCCCATCAGGCGTTCACGATCATGCTGACCTGAGTCCGCACCAACGAAGAGACTTACAAGAGAATGGTAACAACTTCCCATGGAATTTTGAAGAAGACCCAGATTCCTCGATAGTGTTTACAATGCTATTGACGGATATAGACGATAGAGTGTCAAATAAGGTTCCTATAAACTTATGAGCGCTCGGAAGTTACTTGGAAATGGTTTTTAGTTGAAATACGAAGTTGTCTTCATCATCGCACACCATAGCATCATAGCAAGCGCTTCCCTCATCAACTGTAAGTTGTGGGAATGCTTTCAGCTGGTGTCAAGGTTTCTGCACGGCGCAACTCCCTTCCAATGAGAGCTTTCACAACATTTTCTGAAAGTGTTCAAGTGGCGCCCTATTGAGGCTTTTGCTGACGCTCACCGCACTTATTTAGGAGCGATCGTTATTATTCGAATGACTCTCATTCAATTTCAATGTTGAATCACACCAGAGAATTCGCTCAAGATTCTCGTGAAAGGCTCAATATTGGTGAAACAACCAAAAATATGTGAAGAAAATATGTTCATATTTACAAACGTGCCCTCAATTTCTCTTGCATGTTTTGGTTTTGAAAATAAACGAGAGCCGTAGAATAACGTGCAGAAAAGCTCGACCCTAAGTAAGTGTGATAAGTGCCAACGATATCCTACATAGGTCGCTCACTTGAAAAATATCAGGGAATGGTATAAAAGCTTAAGGTTTTGTTGAAAGAAAAGCACGCTGTGCAAAAAACCCCTGACTACGGCCGGATGCAAACCAGCATTTTTCGCCTGAGGCGCTGTATGTGTAGGCGAGTGAGGGGGAGCTATGAATTTTAACTGGAACCATATCCGAATTCCGCGCGCTCATCTTTTCTATGCAGAGCTCACTTAGCAGGTTCATCTTCTCAACCGTTACCAGCATTCTATAACCTATCGATACATCCAAGTCTTCATTCAAAAATCCATAAAAAAAACCCCTACACAGGAACCCTTCCGTGGCTAGACAGACGCAAGGAGGCTATATTGATCACATTCATAGTGTCTTTAATGCCAACACAACCCTTCGGAGAGCGAACTCGAAGCATCTTACAAGTAGAACATGATCAAAGAGGGTTGGAGAAGTGAAATGAATCTTGTTTGTGTTCCTTATTTGGTAATTCCTCAGGTATTGAAGACAGTTGAACATCGCGCTTTCCAACGCATATTTCAGTTGTCTTCAACACCTTGGGAATTGCCAAATTCGCAGTGCGCTTCGTTTTTGTATGGAGGAAACAGAGCGGCCTCATTGTAACAACAAGGTATATGCGACGAACCTTGCAGGTGGTGTTTCGACCGGAGCAGCACATTCGTCGTTGGAAGCAGCCGGCATCGATGCTGACTATAACGAGAGCAGCGATTATAAGAAGAGCAGAGGGAAACATCAGGACATCTGGAATAAGAAGATGAAGATGTTACTGTCAATTGAAGTATGAGGCAAGTAACGTTCCGGAAGCTATCACGAAAACAATGATAAGATATGGAACTAGTACATTGAAGTGACAAAATGATTTTTACTCACATTAGGAATAGGTATTGAAATACAGAGGAAAGAATCAATGAAGATACTGTCACTAAAATCGAAAATTTAGCTACAGACAGCCCTAAAAGGCACCAATGGTAGAAGCAAAGCACCAGATCATCCGGATGTGTAGTACTGCCCGAGTCTTCTTCCCGTTCCTCTCCCTAGTGTTAGTCCCGCATCGTCACAAGATCAGCTGTCCTTAGAAGCTGTCTCCAATTCTTTCTAACTGCGACATTTTCTGCCTCAAGATTCGTTTCGACAAGGTCTTTCTCGACTATGTCCCGTCACCTCTTCTTTGGGGCTCCACATAGTCGCTTCCCTTCAGCTTAGAACTCTAGCACTCTCCTTATTCTATGGTCCGATGGCCTTCTCAGTGCTGCCCGTACCATCACAGGCGCTGTACTCCAACCTTCAGCTGTATGCTTGCTACTTGAATAACCGTTCATAGGTCCTCGCTCCTGATCAGATCCATCCGTGTCCAACCGCAATCCCATCTTAACATTTATCTTTCCACTGCGAGGAGTTGCCTTCCATGATACTCGCTCAGCAGCCAGCACTCGCTGCCGAAAAGTCTGCCGATCTCATCACTGCTCCGAAAATAGCTCTCCTTTGAGAATACTGGAGCTTCAACTGTCGCAGAGGGTATCTATGCAGTACCTATAATATGGGCCGTGTTTATTCGCGCTTTCACAGCCTGGCCCACACCTCCATCAGCGGACAGATCGCTCCTCAGATATCGGGAGTCCTGTACTTTCGATGACTTCACAGATACCGTCTACAATAGACTCCGTGCACATCTCGGAGCTGTGGAATTGGTCTTCTTCGCAATCTGTCAGAGCCCATTATCTGACAATACTGTTGCCATTTGTCCTGAATCCCTCTGCTCTCCGCAATCAGAGCACTGTCTTAGAGGATGGTCTTCAGCGGTCCATCCAGAGTGTTTGTTTTGTGATGAAATCCAATGTTAGTAGTAAGAGAAACGGGCTCAATGCTGATCCTTGATGTACCCCGTCCGTGATGTCTATGGATTTTGTTAGGCCGTGAGGAGTGCGGATCTTTATTTTGGATCCATCGCACATGGCCTGGATCAAAGAGATCAGATGTTCTGGAACTTTACGTCATCAGAGCGCTCTCTAAAGGACTGGACGCGGTAGACGGTCAAACGCTTTTTCCAGATGGAGGAAGGCTAGGTAGCAAAGTCTACGCTTTTCTCTCTACCTCTCCATCACTTGCCTGGTTACGGAGTGGCATCCGTTGCGGGCCTTTCTGGCATGAAGCCAAATCGCTCTTGTGAGATTTAGGCGAACTCCCTGAATCTTGAGCCAACCAATAGCTCGTACAGTACTGCATCACTTCTCCCCCACCTCTTGAAGATGTAAACGATAGTATAGCACCTACACGCATCCAAGATACTTCCTTCAGTAGTTACGGTATTCAGTAATCGCGGGAGCCACTTAGTTCCACGTTCTCCGAGCACCTTCCATGGTTCGATTGGTACCTCATCCGTTTCGGTTTCTTTCCCAACCTTCTTCTTCCCAGTTGCCCGCATACCTCTGACTCTGTCCGGAGTGCGGTGGGCCCAGCTGTGGCCTCTACCTAGGAGATATCCTCACGTGTAATTTTTCATTCAGAGCCTTTCAAAGTACTTTTTTTCTTCTACGCCTGATTCCACTAGACTTCTTGAGGATTGTGTCATTCCACATTCATGACTTCATCCCCTTGTTCTCCGCCTCCTGCTCGGCGAGGCATTCAAGGGTCACAGGGCGTTCGGCGGGGTGGGGGAGAGAGAAAAGACTCTCTTCTTGGTTGTTCCTCTTGGCCATGTGGAGGCCTGCGAGACTGACGAGTTAACTTGCCGACAACGTTCTTCTCCAGGATCCGTACCATAGACCGGCTCCGCCTCTATATAGAAAGAGGGTAAGACCGACGGTTTCGTCAGTGCAGGCTGCTAACCTCAAAGAACGGGTATGTATTCCTTTAAACTGTCGAAGTAGTTAAGAGAGTCAAAGATTTATGTTTGCCGTGTATGCACTCCGGTGTATTGAGACCGTGACAATTATTTGACGAACATATCCAACAAATATTTCCTATTTATTGAGTTAAGCAGATACAAAGCCCTAACCTATACATTTGGGGAGAGATACCTCCCCACCACCCCAAACAGGTT